TGATTCATTTACTGGTGTGAGGGGTGCAGGGTTGGATCGCGGTACATTTACTGGTGTGAGGGGTGTAGGGTTGAATCACGGTACATTTACTGGTGTGAGGGGTGTAGGGTTGAATCACGGTACATTTACTCGTGTGAGGGGTGTAGGGTTGGATCATGATTCATTTACTGGTGTGAGGGGGTTTAGGGTTGAATCACGGTACATTTACTGGTGTGAGGGGTGTAGGGTTGGATCATGGTACATTTACTGGTGTGAGGGATTCGTATGTTTTCTAGTGTGAGGATGTAGGGTTGGTATTCATGTGTTTTCTAGGGTGAGCTGGGATTGTATTGTTTAACCAATAACTTTTTATTTATTTAATTTAAATATGGGAGTCTAGAATTTCGTTTGAAACGCATTTAAATGAAAACTTTTAAATTTATATGTTGAATCTTGATTTATGGAGTGCTTAAAATCGCTTTAAGGCTTATGACAGAAAGGAATCATCAATCCAATGATGTGACAGATCCAGAGAAAGAGTAGACGTTCATTTGTTGGCTATTCAGAAACACGAGAAGTGTTCTCTCAAAGTCTTTCACAATTGTGCTCGATATAACTGAGTTGTCAAAGTACGTGTGTTCGAGATTAAAGAATCTGCAAACAGACGCTGGCTGATATACCTTGTAGATTTTTTCCTTAACCCTTGATCATTTCATTGAGGTTTTCAGTGTGTCTGTGTATTGGAGAATGGTTTCAAGTAACTAAACACCAGAAGCTGGCGAGGACAGCTGATACAACTTTTTTTATTAACTGGTGACAATTCCATGGGCGATATGTATCCAGAAATAAATCATCACAGTTGAGTGTTATGACTAGATGGTTTTATTTGCATAAAAACTGTATCCATATTTACAATATTGACATTACACAACCAGTACTGCTACCTTCACACTAGAACTAACAGCCAAGTGAATAAGACGACGAAATACAATGAGGAAAGCTTTTCACAGAGTATTAAAGGTTACACAGTGCAAACACATAAAACGTATATATTGTGTCTTTTAATTTACTATTCGTCTCTACAGAATCGTATTTCAGAATAATACGATGTAACAGACTTTCTGACATCACAATACATTACCGTGTTACTCTGAAGGCAGAAATAAGTAGCTTCAGTATATAAACATAGGCAGTTTAACGTGTTTAGTTTGAGAGAGGGGCACCGACCATTGAATTCAAAGCTGAAACAGTGATTTTCTATATAATTATTTATAAGTCTTTTATTCCCTATTTAAAGGGGTACTTCTGGGACCCCATTGCCTCCCCTTTTCGCCACCTATACTTATATATGAATACAATTTTGTAAAGTTGGGAATTAAATAAAATTTGTTGTAAATATTTTTTTATAAATGCATTTATAGGATATGACAGGGAAGTTAAAACTAAAAATTCTTAGAGACACTAAATAATCTCATGTGAACGTGTTTCTGCCTCCTACTAGTTACAAGTTAGATACACTTGCCGGACTCTTGAATGTTAGTACTGAAAACAAACATACAACTGATCTTTCATTACCCTAAACTTAAACCCAATCAAGAACCATAATCCACAAGTAAGTTTACATTTCTCACCAAGTGTTTTGTTCAGAATATTCACGAAATAAAGTAGGCTACAAGTAAGATTAAGAAACGTAAATCGATGGTTACTGATTACACGAAAAATGAGCTTCGTTAGTAATTACTTAAGGCACTTAATTTCGCGGCGTGAAATTAGACGATTCGGTACGCCTACATGGTTAATAGGATGATAATAATAATAATAACAACAGAATAAAGTCATAAGTGCTAGCCAAGATACATTTAAACAACCAGCGCACTCTGCCGCTGACGCCTTGGTTCAAAATATGATCAAAATACAATGAGGCTATATTGTCAATAAGGTACACTGACTTGACACGAAATATGAAAGTAAACAGTTGATATCAATTACACACTTTATTCTATAGAATAGGATGGTAAGAACCATGGACATATAGTGCTCAACCCCTTCCAGGTTAGAATGTTGTACTACCAGAATCATGAAGTACATTGTCTCTTCCATAAGTTAGGATGTTGTACAACCAGAATCATCAAGTACATTGTCTCTTCCATAAGTTAGGATGTTGTACAACCAGAATCATCAAGTACATTGTCTCTTCCATAAGTTAGGATGTTGTACAACCAAGATCATGAAGTACATTGTCTCTTTCATAAGTTAGGATGTTGTACAACCAAGATCATGAAGTACATTGCCTCTTCCATATATTAGGATGTTGTACAACCAAGATCATGAAGTACATTGTCTCTTCCAGAGGTTAGAATGTTGTACAACCAAGATCATGAAGTACGTTGTCTCTTCCATAAGTTAGAATGTTGTACAACCAGAATCATCAAGTACATTGTCTCTTCCATAAGTTAAAATGTTGTACAACCAGGATCATCAAGTAAA